AGATCTCAATGTAGCAACAAAAACTATAAAACTCTTGGAAGAAAACAGGGCAGAGGTTCCATGACATTTAACTTGGTAATTCTTTTTTTTGGACATGATACCCAAAGCATAGGCAATAAAATAAAAAATAAATAAAAGGAATTTTAACAAATTTAAAATATTTTATACATAGAAAAGGCACTATCACCTGGATGAAAGGGAAACTCGTGGAATGGGAAGAAATAATTTGTATGTCATATATTTAATAAGGGATTACTCTACAGAATTTGTAAAGAATTCTTATAATGCAACAAAAAATCAAACAACCTGATTTACAAACAAAGAACTTGAGTAGGCATTTCTGCAAAGAAGATATACATAAGGTCAAAAAACACATGGAAAGGTACTCAACTAATCTTTAGGGGGAAAAAATCAAAACCCATAATGAGATACTCTTTCACATCCATTAGAATGCCTAGTACCCAAAACAAACAGAACCCTCCAAAACTCCACCAGAAGGTAACAAATATTGGCAAGGGTGTGGAGAATTGGAAACCTTCTGCATTGCTGGTGGAAATATAAAATAGCACAGCGGCTATGAAAAACAGTATTGTGGTCTCTCCAAAAAATATGCATAAAATCAGCATATGTTTTAGCAGTTCCATGTCTGAGTATATATACCCTAAAGAACTGGAAGCAGAAACTCAAACAAATATATGTGCAGCCACATTCATAGCATCAGTATTCACAACATTCAAAAGGTAGAAGCAACTCAATGTCCATTGATGGATGAAGGTGTATACATACAACGAAACATTATTCTGCTTTAAAAAGGAAAGAAAGTCTGACATGTTCTGCCATAGGATGAACCTTGAGATCAACATGCTAAGGGAAATATGCTAGTCATGAAAGAACAAATGCTATGTGATTCCACTTAAATGCAATACTTAGAGGAGTCAAAGAAATAGAGGCAGGAAGTAGAGTAAGGGTGGTGAGGGGCTGGGGATAGGGAGGAGTGGGCAATCCGAATTTAATGGGTACAGAGTTTCCATTTGGGAAGATGAAAAATTTCTGGGGGTGAATGGCGGTGATTGTGGTGACAACAATGTGCATGTGCTGAAAGCTACTGAGCTGGAGTGGTTAAGAGAGGAATTTTATGTTATGCACACTTTACCTCAATAATTTTTAAAAAGCATCCTATATGTCTAAAAGTTTCTCTCTCTCTCTCTCTCTCTCTCTCTCTCACACACACACACACACACACACACACACACAAGCACAATTTATGCTCATCCTCACTGTAGACCAATAAAATCATTATTCTGGGGTAGCAGTACTTACGTTAAAGCTCCATTGCTGATTCTAATGTGATGCCAGTGTGGGGAATACCTGACCTAAATTATAGATCTGAATGATGGAAGAATAATTTCCTGACTTTGGTATTTTTAACTCCATTCTGTTTTGTGAGTATGGTTACAAAATAAAAATTGTGTTTAAGATAATTTTTCTAGGATCTGGCTGTATTTTAGTAGAAGGGCTCTTTAAAGTTTAAATTTAGAATTTTATGCCCAGCCAAATAATCAATCTTGAGGGTAGAATAAAAACATCTGAACCCATAAGACGTTAATAAAAGAGCCGTGGTATGGTGGATCCGAGTACTGACATACCGACACAAGGAAACCCCCAAGATAAAATACAGTGGAAGATGGCTTGAGATGGCGACCTCATTTAGAGAGGTTTTGTGGTTCTCTCAGGAAGTTTGGGGAGAATTGGCAATATGGTCTGAGAAACCTAGGTAAATAAAAAATGAGGCGATTATTGACTCCAGGAAGGACTGAAAATTGCATTGAAAAAGAAATGCAATCATAACATCCTACCCAGCTCATATGAGGAAATGAAGTGTTGTCATTCAACGCTATTAGAGGGCCAGGGAAAGGAGAAACGTTTGTGGAGGTAGAACAGCACGTCCTTTACGTCTTCCCTAGTAGGAAGTCAATGGATGATGTCTAAATTTTATTGATCCAGAAAATAGGACATAAATTATTTAAATGTCTGTGGTTAAATATCTGAAATCAAAGGGATGCCAGGGGAACGGGTGGAAGGCGGAAGGTCAGTGTTAGTTTTTACCACGAGTTTTTTGACTTTTGCTTTTAAAATTGTGTTTAGAGTATTCCTCTATTTGAAGAAACATTTTAAAAGTATGTCAGTACATAGAGAAAAATCATAGAGATGTTCACTGCAGTATTGTTTATAGTGAGAAAAACTGATATCTCCTCAGGGAGATAATTAATTTGAGTGTATGTCTTATATGCAGTCCTTCTGCAAATGAAAATATAGTTTAAGAAGACAATAGAAGATAAGTGGGTCATTGCTGTAGAAGTTCAAGGACCGCTAGAACTTTCTGACTGGGACTGGTCAGGGGGAGAAGGTGAGAGTTTTTCTTGACTGGTATGATTGGACTATAAAGCTAGGACAGGGTGTCTCAGTTTTGTATCGCTGTCTCAGAATACCTGATATCAGGTAATGTATAAAGAAGAGATTATAAAACTCCACATCATGTATAACCACAAGAATGGGATCCTAATTAGAATAAGTTCTACTCCATGTATGTACAATACATCAAAATACACTCTGCTGTCATGTATATCTAAAAGAAACAAAAAAAGAAGAGGAGGAGGAGGAGGAAGAGGAGGAGGAGGAGGAGGAGGAGGAGGAGGAGGAGGGCGGCCCAGGATGCACATCTGTAATCCTATGGATTGGGAGGCTAAGGCAGGAGGATCCAAATTCAAAGCCAGCCTCAGCAACTTAGCAAGGCCCCAAGCAACTTAGTGAGATCCTATCTGAAAATAAAATATAAAAAGGACTGGGGAAGTTGCTCAGTGGTTAAACACTCCTGGGTTAAATATCTTGGTATCAAAAAAAAAAAAAAAAAGAAAAAAGAAAGAAAGAAAAAAGAAAAAGCACCAAACAGCATGGTGCTGCTATCTGGCCATTTTACAACATGGTGGAGAAGCGGACAGGGAGTCTGGCTGCATGCAGAAGAGGCCAGGACATGGAGTAGACTCATTTTATAATGACCTGCTCTTGTGAGAATGAGTCTTGTCACAGAAGACCTGATCCACTTCTGTGAGGCAGTGTAGATCTATATGTGAAGGTGAAGCCCCCTTGACCTTGTCACCTTCCACTAGGCCCCACCTCCTAAGGGCCCTACCACCTTAGCAGCACCACACTGGGGGCCAAATTCCAGGCCATGAGCCTTTAGCAGGAGGATAGAAAGGACCCTGAGATGGGCAGGAGCCCAGAGTCAGGGAAGAGTGGGAGACAGGGTGGTGGGGAGGAGAGGGACCCATCTGTGGCAGGCACTGGGCCTTGACAGAGCAAACTATGGACTTCTAACAGCTTTGCAACCATGACCAACGTGCCGTCCAATGCTGTTCCACCCAGCTCCTCTGCTGTGTGCTTGGTGGGGAGAGTGGTGGGGAATTTCCCAAAACATCAACACAGGCTTTTCCTGTACCTTTGGAGACAGAAACAGAGTTCTGAGATGGCCATTAGCCAGGATCAGACTCGGTGCAGCTGGAATAGTTGGGATTAGGGGTGAGTCTGAGGACAGGTTTAGCAGTGAGTCTGTGGCCAGGGTTAAAGTTTAGTCTGAGGCCAGTTTCAGGGTTCAGTCTGTGATCTGGGTTAGGATTTGTCCGCACATGCTGGTTTCCGATTGGTTCCCATTTTATTTCTGTGTCAATCGTGTGGCTTAAATGCATGAATGCACAGCGTAGCTTGGCCAGCCAGTCTTCTGGCAGCTCTTCAGTCCCTGTCTTTCTAAGTCTCTCTCTCTCTCTCTCTCTCTCTCTCTCTCTCTCTCTCTCTCTTTTCTAGGCTTCCTTGCTCCCTTTTACCCCACCACACATATAGGACCCAGATGTCCCAGGACCCCCAAGTCTCACTCATTCTTATTAGCTGGGGTCTGAGCCCTCAGGCAATGGGTGCTCAGGAAGGGGCCACATAATAAAAGGAAGTGGCGGTGGGGCCGTGGTCCCCTGCCAGGGGCAGTTGGGCTGTCTGTCGCCTGCCCACCTCATACCAGCCGAGGCCAGTGTCTCTCTCTCCCTATCCAAGCTGGGATAGCAGCCTTACTCAGCACCCAGGAATCCTGGCCTACACAATGCCTGGCACTTTCGAGGCAGAGTACTGAAACTTTAATCCCAGCTTTCCTTTGGTTCCTGATCCCCCCCCCCAGTCGCCAATGGTCTCACCTGGGACACTCCCTTTCCCTGTCCCCAGCAGGCACCTGAGCCAAGCCTTGAAGAAGGACTCCCTGTCCAGCCCAGCTCGGCCACCCAGGTGCAGAAGCTACCCCTTGGCTCCAAAGGAGAGGACCTAGGGTGATGGTGGCCACAGGACAGCGCAATGTGTCCTTGTCACTGCCATCTTCCTGGGTGCACACCTTCCTGGCAACAGGTCCTTGGGCTGCCTTCCAGTTTGGCTCTCCTCCTCCGACCTCTTGCCCCAACATGCAGGAGTTTCAGGAGCAGCTCTGAGGATGCAGAGCCCAGCGGCTGGGAGGCAGCTGGGGAGGGAGGGGCACGCGCCCTCTGCTCTTCTTCCTCTCTCAGCTTTGTTGGCTGCCTTCTCTCCCTCCCTGTCCTGTTGGTCCATCTCTCTGGGTCTCTGCCTCACTCTGCTTGCCCCGTCCTCCTCTGGCCCTGGCCCTTCTTCACCGTATCTCTGCCTTGCTCCCTCCTGGTCTCCATCCCACATCCATGTCAGGTTGTCTCTTCCTTTTTCTGTTTGCATCTCTGGCTTGCAGAGCTGGCTCCGTCAACCCAGATGGGAGGAGATTGGCTCCTCCATTACTTTGTGACATAGGCATACGACAGGTGCCCATTAATGATAATGATTTGAGGGAGGGACACTTCCTTCAACTGCCCCCTCATCCTCTTATCTCTGTATAAGAAATTTCACCACTGAGTCACTCCTTGGAGGTAAGGCAATGCAAAACCACAGAATGTTCTCTGAGCTCCAACCAGGCGGTTGCCAGCATCATGCTAGGTGCTGGGAATGTGTGAGTAAGAGGGGTCTCCATCCTCCAGAAGTCTTCAGTAGAGTGGAGGTGGGTGGCGAGAACGCAAACGCTGGAATGATGAATAGGAATGTCAGACACAAATAACTGTTCGGGGTAGTAACTGAAGACTGGTTGAATTTACAGTCGGATCTCCCCTCTGCTTTGAAGACCGAGGAGTCACGGGGACTGAGAAAGCTCTGTAGACCTTGATGGAGTTTGTGAGAAGAGAATCAGGTGTTGAGAGATGGGTGGTATTTGTAGAGGAAGTGAGTGCCCTTGGGGAGGATGGTGGCCATTCCAGATTGGGGACACAGTTTGAGCAATGGTGCACAGGTGGGGACATCCAGGGATCTGTGAAATTAGCCTGTTGGAGCCTTGGTGTTGGTGTTTATAAATAAGTGGGACAAGGTTGAGGGGCCCCTTGAGCTCAGATGGTGGACTTGGATTGGATCTGTGGATCCGCAGGGAGCCATGGCAGTTTCTTGAGCATAAGAATGATGGATTGCATGCAATAGACCAAGAGGCAACTAAGTCCGGGCTTCAGAGTGTGTCCTGCTTTCTTCCTGGATGTCAAAGCCCCAGAGAACTTGGGCCTGGGACATTGTCCATGTCCATGAAGGCAGCTGTGCAGTGTGGCCCCAGGGAGGACCAAACTCAAGCCCACTGACTCTGTCTGCCACGGGAAGCCTTCAGGGAGAGGATCACTTGGTGTATTGCCATTGGCTCTTGCAGTTCTGGGAGAGCTTAGAATCCCTCTGTCCTGGGGTCCACAGGCCCTGCCTGCATGGCTGCACCCTCTGTCATGTGACATCTCCCTGCTGTGGGTCATCTCAGCATGCTTTGACCATCTCTCCAGTCTTCTTCTTGGAGGCCAAGCAAGGGCTTCCCCAGGGAGGCCTCTGGTGCTCAGGGATGATGAGCTTTCCTCCTGCCCCCGTGTCACACTCAGTAGCCCTGAGTGCTCGGCAGGCACCCTCGGGTGGGGCAGTTGGCAGCTAATTGGTGCCTGTAAAGCACTTAGAAGCATAAAGGATGACACCAGTGAGGAATGCAGCTGCTAATCCCTGTGTCTCCTGAGTCAGAGGAGCTGGGGAGGGGACAGCCCTGAGGAACTCCTGGACCAGTCCCCTTCCTATCCCCAGGGATTGCCCCCTCGAGGGTCTGTGCCCCTCCGGAGGTTCCAGAAGCCTCCTCCACGCCAGGAAGCTCCCCTGAGCTGTGGCCCCATCTGGATGCTTCCATCTCTTAGGAGCAGGAGGAGAGAGGACCACCTGAAGTCAGACCCAGGCTCTGATCTCCAGAGTGGCCGTGAGGTCTGCAAACGTCACTTCCTGAATCTGCACCCCATGGTTACAAGTGACTGAGGGGCCACTCCAGAGCAGCTTACACAAGAGAGGTTCATCTTCTCATATAGCGGAGAGTCCCATCTCGGGTGACCTTAGGTCTGCTGGATCTAGCAGGTCAGCAGCTCCCCAGCCTTCAAGGACTTTAGACTTTCCATCCTTCCTCTATCCAAGGCCACAGATGACAGTGTCTCCCTCAGGTTGGCAAATGATAAGTTGGCATCTGCTGAAGAAAAGGGGTGGTTCCCTCTTCTCTCAACCATGAAGAAACATTCCCCACCCAAGCCACTGGCCAAGATGGTGTGGCATGCTCAGGCCAGGGGAGGGAGACCCTGCCATCAATTTATGCCACTGGCTTGGTGCAGAGGGAACCGTGGGCACATTTGGATTGCCACGGTGATGGGCACCATGATATGTGGAGGTGGCGAGGGGGAGGAAGTTGGAATATCCTGTAATGCATGGGATGGTTTGTCCCTTCCATGACCTGTACTGTCACACTGTCATTTGTAGAGGTGAAAAACCTGCTTTTTATTATCCAAGTCCAGGCCCTAACTCCATTTTATAGAAGTGTTCTTGCCTGAGATTACTAGGTAAATTGAAGGAAAATACTCTGTGGTTTTCTTTGGAACTGGACCGAGAACCGCCCACTGCATCTCAGAGCATCAGTGGTGTACGAGCCACCCCCGGGTAGGGCTGTATCTTTTGCTGCCACCTCGGGTGTGTTCCTGCAGGACCATGTATGCACCGCAACACAGGTGCTTTATTAGAAATGACTTTTCCTGCACGGTCCTCCTTTATGCTAGTTAAGCTGTTGCGTTGTTTTTCTTTCTTTTTTTTTTTTCTTTTGAAATTATATGGTCCATGGATCTCATTAGAGGATAGTAAAGAGGATGGCTCAGAATCCATCACGGAAGCCCCTGCACTTGCTAATAGTATTAGTGCTGGGGGCTGGGGTGGGTATCTTCCCTGAGCACCTGGGATGATGAACCTCAGGACAAAATTGGGGGTTTCCAGCAATAGAGAAGGGTACTAGGGTTGAGTGTCCCCTAGGAATCTGCCAGTGCATTTGTGAGTGACATTTATCCCAAGGGTGCCTCAGTTTGCTTATCTTGAAAGAGTCACTAATCTCTACGCTGGTCACCTGCTCTCTGTTCTTATAAACAGAACAGTGAAAGTGCCTGGCTTCCTTGAACTGTCTTTACTGCCTGCGGGAACCCGTGTCCCCACGATCCTGTACTGTAGCCCCAGGTTCATTAATATCAAGGAGAAATGCATGAAGTTTCCAAAGCATCCCTCCCCACCCCCAGAGGCCGGCCCAGTGCCTCCTGGGTGGCCCCCCCTGCAAGGCCCTGGTGCAAAGGAGCTGGTGGCATTTCAGAGATTAAGAAAAGTGGTGATGTTCATGTAAGTCACTCTTCTCCAATGGCCTCCTTGCTGCTGCTTGGAATTCCATCCATAGAGGTTTTGTCCTGGTTTTGAGCTTAGGAGGAGGGGTCGTGGGGAGTTGGGAGGCCTCTGGCATTGCCACCGTATGCTTGAGTGGGGTGAGAGTGGGGGTTAGTTTCCTTCTTGCTCTTAAATCATATGGTGGTGGTAATGAGGCTGACCACCTGAGTCTAAAACTGTGCTTGCGTTTAAGTGCTGTATTAAACCACTCTGATCCTCAGTTTTCTCATCTGTAAAATGGGGATAACACCATCGGGTTAAAAGAAACAGTGCATATAAATCACGCCCTGGCACATACTTAAGGCTTGGCGATTCGGCCACTAACTGACTCTTCGTTGTTGGCATATGAGGTCTGCAGCTGGCCGCAGCCCGGTGGGGGACCCTGAGCTGCTGGGCCAGGAGCTTTAGTCTTAGGGATGGTGACTCATGAGCACTCTGGGGGAGCCGCCTTGGATCCTCTGCTTCCCCTCCCAGGCCTGGGGTTGCTGGGCCCATGGAATGACCTCAACTGGGAAGAATGAGGGGCGAGGAGACTACAGGGCTGGGTGCAGGCTCCCGGCAACCATGGGGACTTCACAGCCCCACCTTGTACCTGATCCCTATCAGGTGACCCACAGGCAGCTGGACTCTGAGGGTCATCCTGACGGTCATTCCTGTGACTCACTGTGGCCTCTTGATTCAGACTCAGTTCTTGGGATCTCCCAGCCTCTCCCTTCCATATTCTTAAAGGTGGATCCCAACCCTAGCCTGAGATGCACCATTAACCCTGATTTTTTAGTGCAGACCTCAAGTTGACCTCTGACTGATGTGTAAACCCTGATTGTTGACTGACCTCTGACTCTGGTTGTGGACTGACTGGCTTCTGGTTGGGTGCTGCCCTGGTTGCAGATGGACCCATCTCACAGACTTGGAAGGTGTCCAGAGGGTTTCCAGGCTGTGGTCCCTCTCTGCATCATAGTCCGTCCCTCCCTTCTGATATCTCAGGTCCAGGGTGGAGTCCTCCACCTACCTTCAGGTCCAGCGCCCTGAAGGTGGGGAGTACCTACCTGTCTCCTTTGCTAGAAGTGGTCCATGTAGAGCTGGTGGAGCTTAACCTTAGAGGAGAAGATTCTGGAGGATTCTTCTAGCTTTATCCCTTGGGTCCACTTCAAGATGATGCCCACAGAGGAGCATCCTTCCTCCCACCCCTTCTGGTTATAGCTTTCAGATCTTAGGGACCACCCTCCAGCCCTTAGTATTAGCCTAGGGACTCCTAAAAATAGTGACTGAGCTCCTTGTTAGACCAAGTTTCTTAAGGACAGACCATGTCTCTTCCTTGACGGGGTATCCCCAAGAGCAAGAGTTGTGTCTCAATCATCAAAGGGGAGTCTCCCAGAAGTGTACAATAGCAGCCCAAGTGCTGGAGTTGAGCAAACTTGAATTCAATTCTTGGCTCCACTGTTAACTCCACTGTGTGCCCTTGGGCCAGTCTCTTAACTTCTCTGAGCTCAGTTTCTTCACCTTCAAAATGGGGTTGGTGACATTACTTACCTCTTAGAGTTGTGAGGATTAAATGGGATTAGCTCTGGGAAGCATTGAGCCCAGTGTCTGGGGCTCACAAGTGCTGGACAGATGTCAGTGGTCCTTGAGAGTCTGTCCCCTTCACATCAGGGATCCACAGGGCTGGGCAGCTTAGTGAGGCTGAGCCTGGGTTTTCTCAGTGAAAAGAGCTCAAGTGACTTCCCCTTCCCATCTTTGCTCCTTGTGGCTTCTGGGACACTGGGCCTGCAAGACTTGGCCCGACCTTTCCCAAGGCTCCTCTGGACTGTAAGAAAGCCTCCCCTCCCTGGCCCTTCCTCCCCACATCCACCCAGCCTTCCTGACCCAACCAACCCTGATGGAGAAGCTCGTGGGCTGCCATCCGCCAGGGCCTGGCTCTCTGAGACTATCACCAAAGCCAGGTCTGATCCTTTACCACGATGGCTTTGCTGTGAGCCCTGGCTGCTGGTTCTCCTGAGACAGGGAGGATCCAGGGACTGCCCGTCCCTCCCACCATGGACCTGGGCTGTGGGTGTGTGGGCTGAGTCCCCTGAACCACAGCCACCATGCTGGGGACATCTCCATAGCACTTATGACCCAAGCAGGCACTTAATCTGCCCTCAGAAGGGCTTGGTTTCTCTTCCTCTCTTTTCAATGAATTAAATCAATTAAGTCACTTTTGAATCACTGCAATTGGCCACTCGGGGCTTTCTCCTTATTGAGCCCTGACTCATGACGGCAGCAGGACAGATGCCAAAGTCAGCCAGGAGTCCATGAGCCCCAGCACACTTCTGAGGCAGCCTGGGGGGTCCTGACCACAGACCACTGCTCCGCAGAAGGAGAAGAGCAAGTGCAGACCACCCAGGCCTGGCCCAGGGCCAATCTCTAGGGACAGACCTTGAGCACAAGGGTGTGGTTCCCTGTGGGGTCCGTGGCTAAAGCCAGGTGTGAATTTGGGCCGCCCAGGGAACTGGGGAACCCGCTTGTTCCACCAGCCTCGAGCCAGCTGCTGGGGAGTTGAAAAGACATTTGGCCGCATCCTGGAGACTCCCTTTGGGCCCCCACTGCTGGGAGCTCATTTATCAATTTAACCCTTCATCACCAAGACAAACTGCTTTAGCCCCCGTTGGACATATTTGGGCCTTTTTCCCCTTGAGTTTTTACGTATTATTAAATATTTTTATTAGTAGCAGGTTTAGATACGTGCATTTTATTGTAAGCTGCCTTCTGTCTTCCTTGGATGTGGGCTGATAGAAATCCTATGTTAAATCCTGGGTCAAGAGGCGCTCACAGACCAGTAAGGGGGACCCGTGGAAGCAGCCAGTAGCTTTCCTTCTTGTTTAGAGGAAATCTCAAGCTCTAGGGTGTCGGAAGTGAATCTTCCAGGCTGAAGGCCAAGGAACAAGTAGCAGTTGCAGCCTCTGGTTGGGAAGAAAGGGAAATTTTTCTCTTTTTTAGGTGCTAGCTCCTTAATGAACACAAGTGGCTATGTGCTAGCTCAGTATATCACCCAGACTCGAATTGTGGAGGAAACTAGCCTGGGTTTGGGATCATAAGCCCTGATATGGTCCCAGGTCTATGTCTCTCTAGGAGTAACCCCTGGGCAGACCCCTTTCCCCTGGGGGCCTCTGTTCATCTGGGTATTACATGGGTGTGATCCTAAGGGCCTGATCTTACTCTCATGGGGCACCTTTGAGGCTCTGCTGAGTCAAAGAATGGATTTTAATGATTTTTCTGATCAGGACTATTTTGTACACTGTGCTTACTGCTCGGATTCCAGGCCTAGAAAAGTGGCCCCTACAAGAGGGATCTATGTATAATAAAATGACTGCTCCTCAGCCCCAGAGTGACCCACTTCCCTCCTGAGGCCCCCGGCCTCCCTCATTGGCCCTCCCTTCATGACACACTTCCAGCAGCAGAGCTGGCTGCAACTCCCAGAATCAGGATCCTGCTCCTCAGCTTGCAGTACCCTCCAAGGCTCTGAGCAAGAAGAGCCCTAGGGGCCTCTCAGAAGTGTCTCCCAATCTGTACATGAGCTCAGTGGGCTCTGAGCCACCTGCCTACCAGTAGTACTGTGCAGATGGCACCATGGGTCAGTCAACATTGCTGAGTACATGTCAATCAACACAACAATCCCATGAGCCAGTTACCATTATTAGCTTAATTTTGTAAATAAGGAGACTGAGGCCAAAAGAGGTTATGTCACACAGTTGGGCAATGGCAGATTATCAACATTTTCTTAATCACTATGATCTACAGACTTCATTCATTCATTCATTCTTCATTCCACAAGTGTTTATTGAGTGTGTACTATGTGCCAGGTGTTAAAGATCCACATGGAGTCAACACAACAGACAAAAAGCCCTGCCTACCAGAGCTAATATTCTAGAGGGAGGAGAAAGACAATAAATAAATCAGTATGGAGTGTGTTAGGAAGTAACAAGTGGTACAGGGTAAAAATAAAGGAGAATGAAGTCGATGGGGGGATTCTGGAGGTAGGTGTTAACAATTTCAGCCTAGATGGGAGGAGTGGGAGGGGCTGCCCAGGAGGAAGACATGCATAGGCTCTGGGAAAGGAGCGAGCCCTGCATGTCTAACAACAGAAAGATGTCGTGAGGAGGAGGAGGGGAGGAGGACATAATTACTGAGAGGTAAAGGAGGACAGAGCACATGGGGCTCTGCAGCCCTTGGGAGGCCTTTGGGGTAGTTCCCCCAAATGAGTTGGTTCTGCGGCAGGGATAGGAGGTTGCTGCGTTGTGCGGATGTGGTTCTGAGCACCGCACCGAGGACTTGCTCTGACTTTGTGTTCATGGGGGATGCTCCTAGGAGGGAGGCGTGCGGTTGAGAGACCTGTGAGGGGTTCCGAGATGGTCCAGGGGCTGGGAGGGGGAGAGGTATCATGAGAGACGTGGGATGTCAGTCTATTCTTGATTCTATTTTGAAGGTAGCACCAGAGGATTTGCTGCTGGACTGGATGTAGGGTGCGGAAGAAAGAGAGGAATCAAAGTTTGGGGTCTGGACAAGAGGAGACTGGAGCTTCCTTCTGCTGCGAGCAGTTATGGAGAAGGTGCTTTTTAGGGGGAGTGGGGACCGGGGATTGAACTCAGGGACACTCAACCACTGAGCCACATCCCCAGACCTATTTTGTATTTTATTTAGAAACAGTTTTTCACTGAGTTGCTTTGCACCTCGCTGTTGCTGAGGCTGGCTTTGAACTTGGGATCCTCCTGCCTCAGCCTCCCAAACTGCTGGGATTACAGGTGTTCGCCACTGCACCTGGTTGAGAAGGCACTTTATGGGTTTTTGTTCAGTGCTGGGTACCTTGAGCTTGCCTGTTGGGCTGGCCGCTGGAGGGTGGGTCTGAAGTGTAGGGAGAGGCCCAGGTGGGAGACTGGACTCTGAGGTCCCACTGACTGGCAGAGCAGGTGGCCCTAGGGAGCTGTGGGAATTAGGACTACACAGTTGGTAGATGGCAGGGACTCCAACCCTGTGCTGTTTCCCAGATGCTCTGTGTTTATAGCAGCTCAATTCACAATAGCTAAGCTATGGAACCAACCTAGGCGTCCTTCAACAGATGAATGGAAACAGAAAATGTGATATATATATATATATATATATATATATATATATATATATATATATATATACACACACACACACACACACACACACACATACATACACACACACACAATGGAATCTTACTCAACTATAAAGAAGAATGAAATTATGTCATTTGCTGGTAAATGGATGGAACTGGAGACTATCATGCTAAGTGAAATAAGCCAATCCCCAAAACCAAAGGCAGAATGTTCTCTCTGATATGCAGATGCTACATGCAATAAGGGTGGGGAAGGGAAGAATAGAAGTTCATTGCATTAGATAAAGGGGACTGAAGGGAAGGGAGGGGGGATGGAGATAGGAAGACAGTAGAATGAATTGGGTCCACTGCCTCCTCCTATATAGAGTCAGGACAGGACGAGGCTGGCCGAGTGCCTCACCCCCTTCAACAGAGAAGGTAGCTGAGACCCATGTGATTGCCTGACCCTCACCCTGAGCAAGCCACAGAGCGAGAACCCAGGCCTCCTGACTCTTCAGAGATTTTGCATGACAAGATAGCACCGGGAAGGCGCCCTGACAGGTCTGGAATGTGGGAGTGAGGGTGAGGGTGATGACTTGTGCGCCCCATTGGCTGGCCAGGGGCGCCTTTCGGCAGAATTGCTCTCTCACCCAGTGAGGGCTGGGGACGGCTCGTGCTCTTCCTGCTGGGAGGGCCCCGGGCCCCTGGGTGGGGGCCTCACTCAGGCTGCCTCCCTGATTCACTCCAGCCCTCCTGGAGGCCTGAGTCACTTTCTTTCCAGGCTAGAGCTGCTTGTTTGGCAAATCCTTGGATTCTGGTGGGGAGGAATAGGAACTCCTGCCCAGGGCCGGTCCTGTGCATGTGAGGCAGACAGCCACCCACACCTGCCCCAAATCCCTGCCCTGGCCTGGAATTCACTCACTTGTCTCTCCGTCCATCCCACCCACCATTCCCGATGACAGTCTCCATTCAGGTGTTCTGGATGTTGGAGTTCACACACTGAGGCTCAGAGAGGGGCGAAAGCCTGGTTCAAGAGGGCCCATCTGGGAAATAGGGGAGCCAGGTGCGGCCTCAGTCTTGCCTGAAGCCAGGAGCTCTTCCATTTATGGTCACTACTGTCCCTAGGCCTGGCAGCCACCTTTCAACTCTTGGCTCTGATTCTCTGACCTTGTAGAAATTTGTTGATTCCCTTTGTCCTGAGGTTGGTGGAGGAAGGAGACCTGGGATGCGGAAGAGCAGCAGGGTAGAGGTCTTGGGTAGGCTGTGGACTCAGCCACAGCTCCCTGGAAGCAATCAGGATATCAGAGAAGGCAGTTAGGTAAAGGATGTCCCAGGTAGGGAGGCAGCCAGAGGAATGGAACGAACTTGCATTCAGGGGCCAGGAACATAGGGTGGGGAGGAGGTTGGATTGCAGAAGTTTCTGAATACCTTTGGAAGGTTCTGGATAGTCCTGGTGAGGGGCCCAGGGGTGCTACCTCTTCCCCCAAGAAGCCTTGCAGCACTAACTCCTCTGGTTTCTCAGCCCTGGCTGGCCCTCCTTCCCCAGCACAGCCTGTACTTCAGAAGGAAAGCCCCAGACTTCCTGGATCATGCCCTGTCTCCCCTGGGAGTGGGTATTGGGTTGCTCACAAGATATCCAGAGTACTGCTAGAGACCTCAGGATGTCAGGAAGTCCAGAGAGTTGCCCGAGAAGAGAATCGCAGCTCAGAAGGACAGACAACATCACAGGACAGGAGGACCACCTGTCCCTAAAGGTGAAGGTAGACGTCTGATCTCCATGGGGCCATGGGGTCTGAAATTGTAACAGAGGTTATTCACCCTCTTGGACTTGGGCACATCCCTTATTCAAGGCAAATATTCCTGGGAGGAGCATGGCTGCACCCATCCCTATGAATGCCAGGATCAAATGCTTTCTTTCCTGGGTGAGGGAAGCAGAGAAGAGGAGGGTGAGCTGAGGACCTCAGGGCAAGGTGGGGGAACAAAGGCTCCTTGTGTCACTTCATGCCTGATCTGCAGGAGGAGTCACAATAATCCATCCCCACCTTTGACCAGTGCCCTGACAGCTGGGTCAAACTTGCCCTTTCAGTAAGATTCCTGCTGAGTCTTGGGCTTCTTTATTTACGGGGTAATAGGGGCTGATTTAGGGGGATCATGAAAGTGGGTCTTTGAACCCAGTTTCCCTTGGCAGGAAGAGTGTAATTTAGGGAAAGCCAGACCCCCTGCCAGCTAGCCAGTCTTTAGAGGGTACAAAAGATTTGAGTTACAAACATGTGCTGCTTAACTCAGGTTTCTAACTGTGACCCCGTCTATAATCAACAAAGGCAAATAGGCTCCACTCCCTCTGAAATTGGGCCCTCAAGTAAAATTTGAAAAACCTGGTGCCTATCTTGACTGTGTATCTGTGCAATGAGCATGAACACGTTGAATGACACAATTACGTGCCACACCTCTCACTTGAGACCCAGCGTCAAAGCCACAAACACCTGAAATCCTGCTACCAAACAATGCCGAACAATCAGCAGTGTTTATTGAGACGGAGTGATTTGCCTTATTCTATAAAGCTTAAAGTCTTTGACACGACTCTCCCAAACAAGTCTTGTTGGGAAAAGCAAAGAGCAAGAACTTGAGGCACACGGGCAGTGTGTGACCGCGAACCAGAATAAGATCGTTTACAAAATATAAGGTTATATACACATAACTTAGAGGATGTGGCTAATAGTATCTAGTTCCAAAAAAAGGGGGGGGGGAATTGTCAAACAATAATTTATCAATAGATCGCCTTTATTTAAACAATTTTAAGTAAACTATAATTCCAGTAAATTTGCTGCAAATAGTTGATTCCATATTCTGAACGTAAAAATATGAAATTTGTATTAGATGAAAATCTATTTCTCTCCACTTCTACTCAATATGAGTTGAACAAAACCAGTGTCCATGGTTTATTGGGACCACCAAGTGATTTGCTTCCACAGGTTGACCAGCTGTACCATTCTTCCCTATGGCTGGTGGGAGCTACCAGGGAAAGAGGAAAATCAGGGGGTGGGGATAAGGCCATTCCAAGTGTGTGATGTAATAATATATGTGCTTCTGAGTCCGCACTAAATAATGAGACCTAGCAGCAGGTTTAATAATTGTTTTAATTCCAGTGAAGGAATAAGCTTTTTTGTTATTTCAAGATGCTTTCCCAATGACATGTAAATATTCAATTTTGATTGGTGACAAAGTCACAAGTATTTTCTATACGTTTGTGGGGTTTTGCCTCCATGCATAACTGAAAGGTCATAGTTAGGGGTTGGTGCAAATAATGGTACATTTTCTTCCCTATTAAATTCCCCAACCCTCTACATTCTGGCCATGAACATCCAAGTGGTTGAGGGGAAGCAGATAAGGGGTCTCGGGCACTCTACCGAATCCCAGCTGTTGGGGCAGATGTCTGAAGTGGAAAGATCTGAGGCTGAGCTCCCGATGGGGCGTGTGTCCCTGATAGCCCTCCTCAGTGCTTTGCTTAGAAAAGGAAAGAGCAGGAACTTGAGGCACACAGGCAGTGTGTGGCCAAGAACCAGAATAAGGTAATTTACAATATTGTATCAATAAGCCCAGTGAGGCTATGTCCTCCTGTGTCCTGCCTTCCCTGCTCTTCCCTGTTAGCTGCTGCTTATCACTCCTGCTCTGTCCATTACCCGTTTCCAATCCTTCTGAGTCAGGGCCTCTTCCTGCTTCTCTCTGTTGATGTCTCATTGGTTCCCCGTAGGATGACCAGAGGGACATTAAGATGTAAAAATTCATCATGCCATCCCCTTCTGAAGATCCATCCTTACAGATTCCTCAGAAAACCTGGAATGGAACAACCATTTGACCCACTCATCCCACTTCTCAGTATATATACCCAAAGGACTTAAAATCAGCCTACTACAGTGACACAGCCACATCTATGTTTACAGCAGCTCAATTCACAATAGCTAAGCTATGGAACCAACCTAGGTGCCCTTCAACAGATGAATGGATAAAGAAAATGTAGTACATATACGTACACACAATGGAATCTTACTCAGCCTTAAAGAAGAATGAAATTATGGGCATTTGCTGGTAAATGGATGGAGCTGGAGACTATCATGCTAATCGAAATAAGCCAATCCTCAAAACCAAAGGCAGAATGTTCTCTCTGATATGCGGATGCTAACATGCAATAAGGGTGGGGAAGGGAAAAGTAGAAGTTCATTGGATTAGGTAAAGGGGACTGAAGGGAAGGGAGGGGGGATGGAGATAGGAAGGACAGTAGGATGAATCGGACATAACTTTCCTGTTCATATATGAGTACACAACTAGTATAACTCCACATCACGTAAAACCACAGAAATGGGAAGTTATACTCCATGTATGTATAATATGTCAAAATACATTCTACAGTCATGTGTAACTAAAAAAGAACAAATTTTAAAAAGTCCTTTCTGGTTCTCTACCTTCACAGTAAGAACAAGAGACAGACC